TAAAGATACAGTTCCTAAATCAAAATCTAATTTCCCATTTTTTAATATATTTCTATCCTGCCTCTCAGTTTATGAAAGTATTTCCTAGCTAGGCTCCTCTTCCAATAATAGGACAAATTAAAAGTAATAGCACACTACTTAGTGAGTTCACGCACCACACCATAAGTCACAATATGTGTGCATTGACATTTCATTCTATCTTGTTCAGCAAATTATGGCTACAATAGCAAGTATGAAACCTTCCAATTATAGCAAGGTTTAAGAAAATGTCATGTTCCCAGAAGAATGGTTGAAATATAAATGTTCACATTTATTACCTCTTGATTTACTCCATAAGACTTTTTGGAAACAAAGAAACCATATAAAATTTAAAAAAACTAAAATATAAAATTTATTTGACAAAAAATTATCTGCTGCTTAATTCTTAACTAATTTAGTAAAGTTAGGCTTTTCAAAGTTGTTCTTAGCAAGTTATTTTACAAGCTTTTAAAAATAACATGATTTTCTTTAAAAGAATGTTTTTGTGAAACTTGTGTTTCACATCATATGTAATCAGAAACTATATATACAAATCAAGAGCAGTGACTGCCAGTTCTCCTTTCCCCAACTTTGGCATCTATACTGTGAGAAATAACCATGTCCTCCCCTAATTCAAAGCCACTCTATGTCTCATACATAAAGTTAGTGTTGCCTTTATGAACACTTGTCAAGTAATCTTTGTAGATAAATTGCCAAAATGAATTTGGCAGTTCCAATTCAGGAAAACCCCAATGCGCATGTCTTTCTTCAGCCATTGCTATTAGATGACTATAAATGTTCTCTATGGTCCAACATCCCATTTACTTTTTATTGAGTCACACTGACCTTTTGATCTGTGGTTGAATCGTGGACTAGCAATTTTTTTAAGACAAGAAAAGCAAGAAATCACATCCTGCTGTTATGAGTAACTTTGTTTTAGCCCACCCACAACTTCACTTACAAGTCCAGTTGGAAGCACATGCTGGATTTTGAGCCAAGGCATATATGAAATATAGAATGCTTGGCGTTCCATTGCCTAAACAAAATCATTAAACTAAAAAAAGCTGATAGCAAGACTAAAATGCAGTGGTCCAGGACACTATGTTCTCTCTGTTTAATATAAATTTTCTGACATGCAGCCTGTAATTATTCATCATACTAAGCCGTAATTTCTAACTGTCATTTTAACCCAAGTGCGATTTGACAAATCATAGTTAAAATAAGCCATGGTTTAGTATGATGTGTGGACCTAGCCACAATGTTACTCAAGGCCATCAGTCTGATGACACCAAAGAAAAGGCTAGTCAAAGTGTGTTTACAAATTGACAGTATTCTATCCAACTTTAAGCTTTGGAAGAAGGAACATCAGCAAAGTCAATAAGCAATCAAAGATCCTTCAGATTTTCTCACAACAGAATTCAGGGATAATCATGGTTGAAAGGACAGCTATTTTACAACATAGTTTGTGCATCACAGTAAACCAGAAGTGCAGAATCTAAAGCCCCGAAGCATTTACCCAGCGTTTTTGAACATTGTTACTAAATTTTAATCTTTCATGTGATCACAGGGAAGACTTGACCATACAGGGAGTAACAATATTTATTTAAAATTAAATAGAATCAAAATTAGATTTTATTCTGACTGCATCTACTGTTTTTTGGAATATGGCCCACAGTATACTCTACTCAAAATCAATAGCAATCCTAAACTCAGGAAAACTTTGGCATATCCATGTATTCACCTATAACGGGTAAGTTCACATCATGCCTCATACAAAGGCAAATTTGCCTGACAATTTAGTTTTACCTGTGAACCACTCAAAGACAGTTAAGCAAGAAATGGAAGTAAGATACATTTTAAATGGGAAACTCCTATTTTGTATAGCTCTATAGCTCTTCTTTACAGATGCAGAAGTAAAAATATGCTCTTGAAAGTCCCTTAAGAAAAATTGTACATTGTGCATAGCAAAGATGGTGGTGGTGATCTAAACTTGTTTAGATCTGTCACTATATTCACATTATATAAAACTTAGTACCAGTGAAGGAGAAAACTTAGTGCATTTATTAAGCTGCCTCACATTTCTTCTTCTGTCCTGTCAGATGTACTCCCTGAAGTACAAGGCATCAGGAAGCACCTAGTGCAACAAAAAGAAAATGTACAAGGAACATATTCTGAGGCACAGAAACCAAACATGATGAGTTCAAATTGTGGATTGTAGTTTGCTTCTTTAGCAATTTAATTAGATTTACATTGTCTTTCTTCTTGGAGCTCATAGTAGTGTATGTAACATTCACTCCTCCTATTTTTCTTTATAACAGCCGCCCTAGGAGAAAGGTTGGGCTACACCACACTTGAACCACTGCACTACAATGACTCTTAAATACACAGCTATCTAAGGTTTGCCCCAACTATTATTAGTGGAAATACACTGCTGGACCATACAGCATATTCATTCATATGGTTTGGTTGACTTTGTCTTAGCGCGTTGCTTGTGTCCAGCCTATTGTGATTATTCCGGTCATGCCTTAACTATGCCTAAAACAAGTCAGAAAGATTTAGTTCCTCCACCACATTAACCCACCAGACAGTTTGCTTGATTCCTTTCTATATGTTGTGTGAAATCAACTACAAATATGTGTCTAGCCCAGCATGTGAAGCCAATCAGTTTTTTGTTATTCAACCAGCCATGACTAAATTAAGTCTAGCTTAGAGCAATTGGTGAATTCAGTGTCTTCTCTCTCTGGCAAATACTCTTTAGGAGAGGGCACCAAAATAGATTTTTACAAAACCGACAAACAGCAAGAAAACCCTTCTCTTAGATCAGGGGTCTTCAAACTTGGCCCTTTCATTATAACTTGTGGACTTCAACTCCCAGAATTCCTCAGCCAGTACGCTGGCTGAGGAATTTTGGGAGTTGAAGTCCAAAAAGTCATAAAAGGGCCAACTTTGAATACCCCTGTCTTAGATCCTTCACTATATTAGTTAAACAACACTAATGGTAACATACGAGCCACTAACAAGTCTTCTTAAAAGGTCTTCTGGAAGAGGTGCCTTGCTTAGCCAGGAATTAGAAAAGGACCTAGTTTAGGATTTGAGAGCCAAAGTAGCCTCAGGTACTAGTTTCTCAGCTCCTGGATGAGGGATAAAACCAGCTGATACCCTCACTGCACTATTTTAGGCCTGGCTCAGCGTTTTATTTCCGAAGGAAAATCGAGATTATATACATTCAATCATTACGATCGTCTCCGCTTGTAGAAGTCCGATATGGATATGCGCTCAGTTAACAAGAGCCGGCTTCTGAGGAGAGGGAGGGAAGCTTGGCGGGCTCTTTCCCCGCCAGCACAAACTCTGCGATATTTACGGAGCAATAGTGGGGTTGATCACGCTAAGATTATCGGCAAGAGACAGCCTTACGGGAAAACTAACAAAAGCCAAAGCTGAAAATCCACAACCACGAGCCTTCGACAGTGTGTCATCCCCCCCCCCCCGCAGGTCAAACGTGTGAACCAGGCATTTGTGTTGCCCCCACGGGCTAAGCGCGCTCCACCCAGCCAGCTCGCTGAAGTTCGCGGCTTTGCGGTGTCTTGGGACATTCCCAGCCCCAAAACATCGCCCCCTTCCTTGTTTGGCTGGAAATTGACATAGTCCAGGGGCCTTTGCCTGGCAACGTGGGCGGGGGTTCCCGGAATGGAGCCCGACCAGCAGAAACGTCACGAGGCAGAAACTGCCCATATATGGCCATCTTCCCCTGCGTCAGGACGACCCCCTCCCGCTTGGCCCCGGAGGCTCCACCCACTGGAGCTTGAAGTCAGAACTTGCGAGATCAAGGAAGCGAAGCTAGGCGTGTGGGAGGCCAAGCCCTGGGGCCCTTAGGCGCGCCCCCTCCCTTTCCCGTCCCTGACTCCAACAGGCTTTCTAAGCACCAGAGCTTTAAGCAATCAAAGCTGAGAGTTTGACATCAAAGGGAAAAACTGGGAGGGGGAAGGGAACCGGCTCCGAAAACCTCGGGAGAATGACGCGCGGCGGAGGGGGAATCGCAGGCAGAGCGTCGCAGCACAGGCAGAGAAGAAGGTACTATGCGGGGGGAAATGAGGAAAGGAAAGCGAGCAAGAGGAAACGCGGTGAATTCCACCGGGCACATGACGGCCGGTCTAATTAGGTTTATTCTAACAGGCCCATTAGGAAGAATAAACATCCACCGGAAGGGTTAAGACCAGGTACTGCCATCAGGGCGTTCCAGAAATTATCTACGTTTGATAGCTTTTCCGAGGTATTGTTAGCGATTAAGTAGGTCATGTCCATGCCTGTAGAGAAATCCACAAAATACTTTTTTTAAAAAAAAAAAAAAAAAGGTAAAGGATTTGGCGGTTAAGTTGTGGCATATGAAAAGAGGCACACATATAAAGTAGTTCGAACATGTTTACTTAAATAATTTCAATAAAAAGTCAAAACACAAATACAATCATGGGGGGTGAACTTGAGGACTCAAAAGTATTAAAAGCGCTAGTAAACAAACCCACTTCCCCTTCTTGGCCCTTTTGTCCACGCAATGGCCTCTTGGGGGAAGAGAGAGAGGCTGAGATTCCATTACATCCATGTCTAAACTCTGTTATGGTCCCTTTTCTTTCAGTTATATAAATTAAATTAAGTCCATTTCTTTTCCTACTGGCATGAAGGAAACCAAAAGGCCAGTTTTCTGGACTCCGTCTCGAGTACCTCCAGTTCGACTGCACCATCCAGCGATGCAGCCGAGAGCAAGAGAGCGAGAGAAACGCGTTTCTTTTAAATACACACACATACGAAATCACGCTCACTGACAGCTATAAAAAAAACTTGTACACACTCAGCACAGATCGAAGTTCTGGATCCACCAGACTGAGTCACAGACGTTAACTAGGAAACACGGACTTGGGAACAGAGCCGCATAATGTCAGTCCGGCTCCGTGTAAACTTTTGCGTGACAAGTCCATTTCTCTTCCTTACGGCGGAAAAAGTCTTTGAGATGACGGCGATCTGCCCGGTTCCTCACCGCATCAGAAGGACTGCTGCATCTTGGTCGTCAAGAGGAGCTGGCAGCCGTTGTTCACGTGATTCATTACTTTCTGCTTCAGCTGCGCTACCTGGTCTCGGAGCGCGCTGGCAGTGTTAGACAGTCCCGCGTTCTCGTTCTTTAAGCTCTTCACCTTGTCCTCCAGCCGAGCGATGCGCTCCAGCTTCCTCTTCCTGCATTTGGTGGCGGCCAGGCGGTTGCGCAGCCGCTTCCTCTCCACCTTGATGCGCTCCTGATCTTCCATGTTAATGGGAGACACGGGCGGGCTTTGCACATCCGGCACAGTCTGGGGCTCCTCTTTGAAGCCCCGCGCGGGGTGGGGCAAAGCTAGGCCGTGAGGCTGCGGCATGTAGCTCAGGTTGGCACTGGGGAAGCTGGACGTAGTACTCAGGGAGCCGGTGGGGTTATAGCTGGTCAAGTTGGTGTAGATCGGAGGCGGCTCCTGAGGAAGGGAAGCACCATAGCCACTACTGGCCGACGAAGCTGCTACCGCGGCCCCGATCGAAACATTGGGGGGTGGCATGTGGTTCATCTTATGGAGATCATCCAGCGCCTTGACGAAGCCGTCAGCGAAGCCTTCTTGCTCTTCGGTGGCTCCCCGCGGGTAGTAGTATTGTCCCGGGGGCGTGGGAGTGGTGGTGATCACGCCGTTGCTGTTCTGAACTATAAGGCGCTCCAACTCCGGGGCAGCCAGCTTAAGCGAGGAGCTCGCCGTTTCAGCCGACTGTTGCTGAAGCGAGCCCGGAAAGTAGCCAGCGGGGCTGTCTTCTTGGCCGCGGAGGTGATGGGGAAGCTGGGACTTCAGGCCGCGGAACGGCTCGGCCGACAGGTTCAAAGCCATGCCCGACTTCAGCGCCTTGTAGTCCTGGCTGTAGCCGGAGAAAAAGGAGTCAGGGTAGAAAAGCTGCTCCATCTTCGTGCACATCAGCCGCGCGCTGGGAGGTGGGGGTGGACACCCGGGCTAGGACCGTCCGAGATGGCTCGGGGCTCACAGGAAAGGCCTTCTCTATCTGCCTGCCTGGGGCGTGGATCGAGTTCTTCTCCCAACGCGAGGAGAGCGCGCTTCCGCCTCCCTCCCAAGCTTCACTTCCAGATTTCAGAGCGAGACAGACAGAAGGGGGGGGGAGAGAAAAGCTTGTCTTTCCGGCGGCTTCTCCAACCACCCGCCCTGACTAAGCTCTGCTAGCGAGGATGATTCACGCTTGTCCCCCACTGAAGGCAAGCCCACGGGACGAGCGTTCCGGCTTCAAGCCCTCCCCGAGAAGCAAAAGGAGCAGGTACCGTACCGGCCAAGGGAGAGCCTCCAGCGCACGGATGCCAATTGTGAATTATCTGGGCTGCAGCGTGCGTTTCCCGGCGCCTTTTATTCTGGCGGTGCCCGCGGTGCTGGCGGAAGGGCGCCGTCATTGGCTGAAGAGCGAAGCGCCTCCGCCCACCGCAGCTCACGCGAAAGGGGAACTGAGCTCATTGCTCGGCAGCTCGTGCTCCAGTAAACAGCCCGCGGGGCGGCGGGGGGGGAGGAGGGGGTTGGAAGCCAGCGCGTCAGAGTAACGGGATGGGCGGGAGAGCGAGGGAACCGGGAGCGAAAGCAGGAAAAGGGCGCAGCCGTGGCGAGAGCGAGGGGCGGCCGTGCGAGCAAAGGCACGCAAGAAGCGGAGACGCGGGAGAGATGGTGCGTGACGTCCTTTGCGTTGGGGAATAAGCCTCCCTGAATTTAGCGCTGCTTATTTCTAAGCAAGCATAGGCATTGTAACCGAGAGGTAATAGAGGCGGAGGATGGCTTTCTTTCCTTTTTTTGAACAGAATTCCCGAGAGGCGCCGTGGTCGTGCCTTGGCGGCCGGTTGGGTATTAATTTGGAATTGAGTATCTCCTACCTAGAGGTTTTAAGTTGGCTGTGTGATCTTTGGCATATCACTCCTTCAGCCTAGCCAACCCCATGGAGTTATTATAAGGAGAAAAGTAAATAACGCTCATAAGGCAAGAAGCCAGCCAGCCTTTCTTGGAAGAAAGGTGACAGATCAGTACTGTTTTTTTTTTTTTTAATGCATTCAAAGGCAGATCAGTTTCATTCTCTAACTGCCAAAAACCCAATCTGATTTTTCAGGATTACAAGAATTTCCAGGGTTAGTAAATATCAGGGAAGCAGTTCTTTGAAAGAACTGCCTCTGTGAAGATAACATGGTTCATCAATTCTAGAAATGCCTTCTGAGTAAATATTTTGTAATGAATCAGACTGTATCATGCAAATTTAAATGACAGTTATACCCAACCTCTGATCTAAACGTCCTCTCCTATATGAAAATTTAACTGGACACAAACAGTTCAGCCAGAATACTGAGGAATAAATGTTTACTCTGAGATGCATTCAAACAGGTATGTACAAATGTCATAAAATATGTAGAAATAATCCTATGTCAAATACATGCATTGAAATCAGAAACCACAGACAAATACCACTTGAAGGCACAGCTCAGACATAAGTTACACCCTGCCATATTCAAAATAAACACAGATGAACAATATAGAGAGATCTGCATACCACATTCAGATTCCAGAGGAAAAGAAGAAAACATGCCTAAAATCATAATGTAGATAGGAAAGCTTAGATTTTTTTAAACATGTACCTGAAGTGATCATTAAGATCAAAATGGCTAGGAGTGGATATTACTACAGTTATCTTAACTGCTTGCAACAGCAGGGAATAAGAATTAAGGGGTTAAGCTAAAACTTCCACACACTCAAGAATTTTGAGGGAGAGGACACATACAAGAATCTTCAAAATACAGACCTGTATCCATTCTGATCTAGCCTAGTCACCTACAGCTAGATATACAAAATAGAAAGCCATACTCAATCCCGGTATCTACTGAGAGGGTCATCTTTTTCTTCTAATCACAATTATGTACAGGTACTCCTCGATTTACAATAGTTTATTTAGTGACCATTCAAAGTTATAACAGCACAGAAAATAGTGACTTATGACCATTTTTCATACTTATGACTTGCAGCATCCCCATGGTCATGTGATCAAAATTCAGACACTTGACAACTGACTTATATTTATGGTAGTTGCAGTATCCCGGGGTCATGTGACCACCTTTTGTGAACTTCTCATAAGCAAAGTCAATGGGGAAGCCAGATTCACTTAACAGTCATGTTAGTAACTTAACAACTGCAATGATTCACTTAACTGTGGCAAGAAAGATCATAAAATGGAGCAAAATTCACTTAACCACTGTCTCGCTATGCAACAGAAATTTTGGGCTCAATTATGATCGTAAGTCGAGGACAATATTACATATATTCTCTCTTGCTTTTTACATATAGACACGTGTGTCTGTGTATGTATGTTGGTGTGTATATGCATATACATAGACATGTAGATAGCCACATAAAAAGTATTTTGAGGAAACCCCCTATTAAATATATTCTCCATTAAGACAATAACAAATTTGTCTCCCAGCTCACTGGAAGCACTAATGATGAGCCTAATGCTTAAATATTTTGGACACATAAAGAAGACAACAGACACTGGAGAAGCCCCCCCCCCGTGGTTGGAAAAATAAAGACAATAAAAAAGAGGCGTCAGAAAGACAGAGAACTAGGCACTAGCACCAATTTCATAAATATAAGCTTACACAAAATCAAACAATCCTTGCCAAATTATATCGGCTGGGTTACAAAAATTAGAAAAAAAAAAGAATGGCTAATAATAAAAAGCAGGGTTAGGTCTAATTATAAATTGATCAAGAAATTAGAGAGCTCTGTCTAGCCAGAAAATTAGAAAAAGCATCCAGAAAAGATAAGCCACTTCTGTACTACTATTAAGAATGAAACTACTTCCATATTGTTATCAAGAAAACTACATGAGGTATCTTTTTTTTTTATAAAAGTTTTTATTTTCAATTTTACAATACATTACAATCTTAAAAATACTTCAGATAAAAAATAAAACAAATTGATACACACCACTTTTGGTATTGCCCACCCATTTCCCCCCAAACTGCATCCACCCCCAACCAACTTGCCTCTTTCCCTCTTCTTCCTCTTCCTCACTCTCCACCTCTCCTCAACCTTCCTACTTACTTCTCACCTTCTACCTTCTCGCTCCGGATGCGGTCCAGGGGAAATGCCCGAGCAATTCCTCTCTCCAAATTGAAACATTAATATTATATACAGTAAAACTATTTCTACTTTATCTGAACTACTTAAACTTTGACCCATCCACCCCCCACCCCCCTCCCCCCACCCCCCTCTCCCCCTGACTTCCCAGAGCAAAGTACAGGATTATACAAGCATATTAAACATAATCTATTTAAGTTTACTAATTATACAATGAACAAAATCATATTAACCCTTAACTCTCTTCAAACTTTAACATCATAAATTTATAAACAAATTCATTACTCATAAAATAAATGAAACTTTGTAGTTCCATACTTCTTCTGAACATATTCTATCCATCTTCTCCATACATTAAAATATCTCTCTTGTGAATGGTCCTTTAAATAAGCAGAAATTTTAGCCATTTCTGCTAAATTAGAAACCTTAAATACCCATTCTTCTAAAGAAGGCAGAGTATCCTTCTTCCAATATTGACCCACCAATAATCTTGCTTCTGTTATTAAATTCAACAAAATATTTTCTTTAACATTAAAATCCACAAAAATGCCCAAAAGAAACAGTTGGGGAGTAAACTTAATCTTCCTACTACATGAGGTATCTTATGTAGTCTCTAGGAGTGGACCTCAACTCAAGCAAAATTTGACTTGATTTTTAAAAATTAGAGATCATGGGGATCAAGCTTTCTTAAATGAGCTTCATCCCACCCCATGATATAAAAGGATCAGTAATTATTATTCAGCGGTGACTAAAAAGCTCTTTAAACATATACTATATATGCCAAGTTTGTCTGACAAACTTAGAATACAGGTAGGCCTTGACTTACAACTGTTTGTTTAGTGACTGTTCAAAGTTACAATGGCATGAAAAAAATGTGACTTATGACCGCTTTTCAAAGTTACGACCTTTGCAGCAACCCTATGATCATGTGATCAAAATTTGGATGCTTGGAAACTGGTTCATATTTATGACGGTTGCAGTGTCCCCAGGGTCATGTGATCACCTTTTGTGACCTTCTGACAAGAAAAGTCAATGGGGAAGCCTGTTTCACTTAAAAACCGGACTACTAACTAATTACTGCAGTGATTCACTTAACAACTGTGGCAAGAAAAGTTGTAAAATGGGGCAAAAACTCACTTAACAAATGTCTCACTTAACAGAAATTTTGGGCTCAATTGTGGTAAGTCGAGGACTATTTAGTGTAGGGCAGACATTTATGGATTAAATCAGTGGCAAATTTTGATTCCCATTGAGTTTAAATCCCCAAACACAAAAACAAAGAAGCCTAAAGTTAATGTGAGGCATAGCAATTTCTTTGAACTCCCGTATTAACAAATGGGAAAGGGAAAGGACAGGGAGAGAAAAGATGGATCCACCTACCTGGACTCTGGTTACACCCACCTCTTGTATAGAGATTTCAACAGATTACACCCATAAGAATGAGGCTCTCGGCAGAAAAACGATACTGTGCCATGGCCTAGAAGCAATTTCCTTATGTTGAGATAGCGATAGCCCTACTCCTGTCCACAGGAATTCTTTTCAAAGTGACAGTTAAAATATATGCAGAAGTATTGAAATGCCGGAGCATACTCTAAATTGTGTGGAACTAAATAGCATGCAGAGTGCAGGAAAGAGGGGGCAGAATTGAAGGGAAGGGGAAGCAACCTCACAGATGGTGTTGCAAAAACGCATAACTCATAAGTGATGAAAGGAGGTGTTCCAGATAGACAAACACTGTAGGCTCTATCAGGCTAGAACAAGAGCCAGCCTTAGATTTTGTTCTCTTTCCTAGTACCATAGCAGGAAGTGCCAGCCTCTGGCGTTGCCATTTAATCGTTACCTTTGTTTGCCTGCTTAACCCAGGCATCAGGCAAGAGGGTGAAGGTTAAGGTGCGGCAGGGTGTGGCAGGGAACGCTCCCTTCTATGGCAAGCATCTAAAAGGTACCCAACCTTGCAGAGCTTGCATAATAGAGGGGAGAGAGAAGCAGAGAGAGGGAGGGAGGGAGAGGGAGAGGGAGGGAGGAAGGGAGAAAGAGAGGAAGACAGGGAGGGAAGGGGGAGAGAGAGGGAGGGAGGGAGAGGGAGGAAGGAGAGGGAGGCAGGGAGGGAGAGAGGGAAGCAGGGAAGAGGGAGAGGGAGGGAGAGAAAGAGAGGGGGGTATACAAAATAACTTTTGCACGGAAGCAGTTTAGCAATTGAAGTTGATCCATCCAAATGAGCTTTGTAAAGCAGTACATCTTTCTTTTGCAAGAAAATGGGCAACTATATAAATTTTATTAATAAAAAAATACAAATGTTAAGTTTGATGAAGTTATTTTCTTTAAAACCATCATTTGAAATGTATAATAAAAAGTAAGCAGGAATGTCAGTTTGTGGTTTTGGATTAAACCTTATACGTATTTATAGAGATTATTTTATTTCTATTTATTTATTCATTCATTCATTCAATTTCTATAGCTGCCCATCCCAGTCAATGACACAGGGTGGCTTACAATTAAAAGAATTGAGCCGAAATTTTCTGTTGCTAAGTGAGACAGTTGTTAAGTGAGTTTTGTCCCATTTTCGACCTTTCTTGCCATCGTTGGTAAGTGAATCATTGCAGCTGTTAAATTAGTAACATGGTTGTTAAGTAAATCTGGCTTCTCCATTGACTTTCCTTGTCAGAAGATTCCCAAAAGGAATCATTTGACCCAGGAACACTGCAACTGTCATAAATATGAGCCAGTTGCCAATCATCTGAATTTTGATCATGTGACCACAAGGAGGTTACAACAATCGTGTAAAAAACGGTCACTCTCTTTTTTTAGTGCTGTTGTAATTTTGAACCATCACTAAATGAACAAGAACTATCTGTATTACACTTAAAACACTAAAACATTTTAAAATAATACAAAATACATTAATTTTGTTGCTATTTGTCATTTAAAGCACAATACAAAAATGTAATACTATTTTAGAACAGTGAAGGAAGCAAAATCTTGGATTATGCGATATCTATTTTAATTTGGGGTATGGATCAGGAAAAAGGCAGAAATCAAGAGTTAAAGTATATATTGGTAATGCATTTTCTAATGAGTTCATTCACATGTTAACTGTGCCTATAATTTGTTTTGTTTGACTTTGTTTTGTGTACTCAGCCATTTGTGGTATGTAAAGTATTGTTTATTTACTATATATCCTATACTAGCATGCTTTAGTGTACTAGTTAGTGTACTATATGAACGCCAATGACTATTTTATTCCATAAACAATGAATTAGCATGTTGTATGAGCCAGCCAATTTTTATATGCTACATAGACTGGCAGTTTCATTCCATTAGTTAAGGCTGAAATAGAAATAATAAAATAGTAAAAACAGTAATAAAAAAATAGAAAATTATTATACGAAGCTCAGACAGAGGTAGAATTACTAGTCAATCACACATTTTTAGTCAAGAATACAGTCCTGTTTGTCAAAATATTTAAAAACATAGGGATAACCAGAATAGTAGAAGGTAAGAATTCAGAAAACCTGAAACCAAAGAAAAACTCTCTTGACTATGGAGCAATAAAAACTTGCTTAGGCAATTTGTAGCAAGATTGACTATTTCACTATGAAGCCCCTTACTGACTGCCAGAAAATGGAACTCAGAATCCCTTGACTTTGTGAGGCCTGTTTTAATATCTTGAACACAAGCTTCACATACTGCATTCAGGCATGATTTTCCACAGTTTAATGAACAAATCAAAATCAATGTGCAAAAAAGAAATAGTTTGGTGTATTGTGAGCCAGACTTTAGTATTTGACTGGTCTTCTCTCCAGATCCTAACCTCAATCCTTGATGTTTCCAATCCAGACCTAAATCGCGTAAGGACCTTTTGAGATATAAAGGACAATGGCTGGACCAGGAAAAATGGTACAATTTTACCAACTGCTTTCTTGGTGTTTTTTACAATTGAGATATTGGGGAAAGAATCTCAGTGAATGATTGAGACACATTATAATTTATCCATGTTTTATATTATTGTGTTTGCATGGCCTAATCAATTATAAACTTTTCTTAGCAAACTCATGTGTAGCTGCATTTTTTTCCTACAGTGTACAAACCTGATGTTTTAGATTCATTGTGTTTTTCAGACCCAAAACTACCAATATCATGGATTATCTTAATTGTTAATATATCTGGGTTAAGATCCAGAATTGCAACCATTCTGGGTTTGACAGATAACAATGAGTCTGAAACCTCAACTAAAAAAGTATACATTAGTTGGAACTAGTATATGTATCATACCTTGAATATTTTCCACAGTTTTGCTTTTCATATACAGTATCCAAGTACCACATGAATGTGTTAGAATTGTCAAATTGAATGCATCAATACAGGGATCAATACAGGGAGCACTATTAAAATGAATAATTGTAAGTGCCTATGAAACAGCTTAGATCTGAGGGTATTTGGTTTGTGGCAGCTTTCCTGGCAACATCAGTTGTTATATTGGCTATCTTTCAGGTTTTCAAGAGCAGTTCTCAGAAATAACCTCTCTCCCCCATCTTTTTTTTGTTTGTTTGTTTGTTTGTTTCTGCACTAAAATTGCAGTTCATGCATTTGGCTAATAAAAAATAGCAACAGTTAGAAATTGTTTTTCTTTATAAACTTTCTTTTAAAAATCACAATATCTTATTAAAAGCTACTTACTATCTATCTATCTAACTAGCTATCTATATCTATCTTTCAATGGAACTGGATGGTGTATATAGTATGTGCATAATAGTAACTGAAGGATTTGCTAATCAGATCTGTGTGCTAATCTGGCCTTTGGGTGTATTGCTAAAATATTCTTCAATAAGATTTCTAGCTAATGTAATTAAAGTTAATAGGATATTCACTTCAGTATATTCTAGATGACACTTCAGTCTCATAAATGATGCATGATATAATGCAATTAATTCTTTGTTTCAAAAAACTATGTTCCAATCAGATGAATTGACTTTCACAAATCCATTCTTAATTGTTCTATAATTTATAGAACAATCAAGATATAGACTGCACAGAAAATTTAAGATACCTTAGGGTTTTAACTTAAAGAGCAAGTATGATAATTAAATAAATTATTAGGGTTCTTGTATGGGAATAACTATGTGACTGCAAATCCCAACTCTTGGGCTAAGAGTTAAAGGGATAATTAGGTCACAGACTACTCATCCTTTTTCAAAAACCTGGCCCTGAATTTAGTAGCATTTACTTCAGTATGAATACCCTATTTGAACTCCAGATTATTAGATTTTTGCCCTGAATGAAATAATGTAATTGTGTGCAATTTACTAAGCGGCAAGCCACAATGGCTGAATTTGCATAGTCCACAGTGTGTCCTATGTGAATCCAACCTATGAAAATAATTCATGGCTCAGTGCAAATCTAGAAACCTGTGTTGAGCAATGTGTTATTAAGTTAAGCATAGGAATGCATGGTGCATGAACATTACAATATTCAAAGGAATGCCCTGTTAGGTAGCCGCGTGCAGGACCAGAACCTTCAGTAACTTTTAAATAACACAAGATGTCTCTGAAAGTAGGCATAAAAAGAAAAAGTTTGCCCACAGATTCAAGCAATTCTTGTTATATCCACTGATAAGGGGATGAGACTGTCGAGGTTTGGGAGGAGTTTGCTGCCTGAGCTCTGAAGTTCTATTCCTGGGCTTCTTACTGATTCAGCATGTAAAGCTGAATGACTCACTTCCCCACTGTAGCCTCAGCTTCCCCATCTATGGAAAGCCCTTTGGGATCATTGGATAGGAAGCACTAAATATAATACCCATCTCCACCCCCACTGAATTTTCCCAAAGAGGAAGGGGAAATGGCAGGATAGGGGCAGCTGTCCTATCTCAAAATGCATGCAGTGTCAAAAAAGAGAAAAACTAAAACTAAATGGTGCAGGAAGGCAGTAGGTGACAAAAGCACACATTATTTTCAGTTTGCAGGATACACAGCTCTGAAATATCACAGTTATTTCCCTTCTAACATTTGGCTTCCATGTTTAACAGGTGAAAACTTTTATAGTATTTCCTTTATTATTTACGACATGGCATTTTTATTTAGCATTTTGCTTGTTCACTTTATGTCCTGCATTTATTTTCTCAGATCTTCTACAATGATTGTTTAATAACTGTTATATGACAATGCTTGTCTTTTAAAAAAGAGGTTGTCAAAGTATTCCCTAAGAATATGAAGTTTTTGACTCTAAATTCACGTGGTCCTTAACTTACAATCAAATTGAGCCCAAAATTTCTGTTGTTAAGTGAGACATTTGTTAAGTGAGCTTTGTCCTTTTTACGACTTTTCTTGCCACAGTTGTTAAGTGAATCACTGCAGTTGATAAATTAGTAACCTGGTTGTTAAGTGAATCTGGCTTTCCCATTGACTTTGCTTGTCAGAAGGTCACAAAAGTTGATCACAGGACCTTGGGACACTGAAACCATCATAAATATGAATCAGATACCAAGCATCTGAATTTTGGTCAGATGAACATGGGGATATTACAAATCTTGTAACTATGAAAAACGGTCATAAGTCAGATTTTTAGTGCCATTGTAACTTTGAATGGTCACTAAATGAACTGTTGAAAGTCGAGGACTACCTGTAATGCAGCAAGGGCTGCCTGACAAATGGCAGAAATGCTCTCTGCCTGTAGGGGTTTGTGTGTTTGTATCCTGCCTTTTCATTCAGGAATTCAAAGTAGTAAATGCAGTTTTCCTTCCTTCCACTTTCCTCTAAAACCATTCCCTGTAAATAGATTGAGCTGAGAGGGTAGGATTGGTCAAAGTCAGTAAGCTTTGGTGGCCTTTCTAATGCAAATCCATTACCTTAACCACTATACCACACTGGTGTTCTCATATATATTTGATTTTATTGTGACAAATAAAGTGACACTCAAAAAAGCAACAGGGAAAAAAAAGATTGCTTCTGCTATTTACAGGTCCATCCTATATATAAGTTAGAATAGCTGAGTCAGGAACTGTAGGACTGGGCATAAGACAAGATACAGGGTGGAGCATATACAAATGGATCTGCTGGTGAAAACCGGCCTGCAGAAGATTAAAATATACAGATTCATGGTTTGAGAAAAGAGGATCCTTATGATCACGGATGGGCTTGTTGGTTCTAGAACTTTACACAATCTCCATAAATTATGGGACAAAATTCCCCTATCTTGGCAAGGGCAAATAAACATAGGTAGCTATATTCAAATCTCCTCCCCCTCCCACATACACTTTGTTTGAAATATAACTACTTAGATCCACAATCATTCTGCATTTGTTACTGTGATAAGATCACAAATATAGCAAAAAGCAACATGCAATCTCTGCTTCCTAGCACAGCCTATAAACCGTACACTGGGAAGCCATTATTCAGTTAATAGACTATTTCCTGAAAATCTATAATGGGGTTTTTCCCTTCCCTTCTCAGAATGAGTGGCTATAGGATAAGATAACCATTTCGCCAAATGTAGTTTCAATTCTTAGAACTTGTCTCTCTCCTTCTTGTGCTGTTATTTATTTTTCATGTGTCTATCCACTGTACAGGTAGTCCTAGATTTACGATCATTCGTTTAGTGATCATTCAAAGCTACCTCAAAACTGAAAATGTGACTTATGACAAGTGTTCACTTTTACGGCTATTGCAGCATCCAGCAGTCACATGATCACAATCTGGGCATGTGGCAATCAACTGGCCACATTTATGACATTTGCAGTGTCGTGCAGTCATGTGATCGCTATTTGAGACCTTTCCCTACCAGCTTCCAACAAGCAAAGTCAACGGGGAAACTGATAGGGAAGATCAAAAGTTGTGGTCAGATGATACCTCAAAGCTACACAACTTAATGATGAATTTTCTGGTCCCAATTGTGATTGTAAGTTGAGGACTACCTGTAAATGCCCATTTATATAATGACACGTTAAAACAGTTAAATCCAGTTAGTGAATCATTAAATCTTTCAATCATTTTTAAAACTAAGTAATGAAAATCAACCTGGTTTAAGAAAGACTGAACACAACTGTTGGCAAACAGTTGCAAAGCAGCAGAAAGCAGAAACTGGTTTCTGAAAGAGACACCCAGGTGTTTTTATCTAAAATGTGGCAAACATGAATAGGATCCCAGCTTGGAACTAAGAAATTATAAACACTGATTGTGACATAGCAATAAAGTGTGATCTTGTACACAAGAGAGAACTGGCATAAACAAACTCAGATTGTGGTTTTCATTGTCAATCTCGACTGTTTTTCTATTACTGGTGTTGTCCTTACATTTATGAATGTGCCAATCATACTTAAATATTACTGTTTTTTTCCTTTGGCTTGTTGCCATTTCCTTTCAGCAAACCACCAAGCTATGGGAGAAACTTCTAACTGCAGCAGGAATGGGGCAGGTCTCACTTCAGGATTCTTCCAGTCTTGTTCCATGCTGGTTTGTCTGGACCCTTTCCACACATCCATTTTGGGTATTTCTCAAAGAAAAATAATGTGGAATTTAAAAAAGGGACAGACACCAAGGGAGAAATAGCTCTACAAAGAAGCAGGTTCTGCCACAATTGTGCAACTAGCTAAGTTCTTAGAGCAGAAGAAGTGAAACTGATTAAATGCTAGGCAACCCTTCTCCAGGAGAGAAGAAAGAAATGGATGAAATTGATGGATTTAAGAAAAATGGCAAAAACACAACAAAAGGCCACTTCTGTATCAATTCTTCTTGAAGAGGGGTTGCTGTATCTTAAGACCAAAACATGTTTTAGAATACTATTAAAGTGAGATAAAAAAAAAAAAATCCTGTCTTCTTCTTCTTCCCCAAACAGGGTAACTGGAAGCCTGGAGAAAAGTTAGCCTCCCCCCCTCCCTCCCTCCCCCCAAAAAAGGGAAGCAAAGAGATAATAGAATGGAAAGAACTTAGAAAACAACATGGCCAATGGAGGGCAAAGGACAGAGAATAGTAACTACATCAGAGATCGGATAAATACCATGTGTGATACCTTCGAACAGTTTTAAACCACCTCCTGTCATATCCTGAACAGATCAACTGACATTCTCTCTAAAATAATGAGAGTAAGGTACTGCAGACTTTATATGCCTTCAAGGTACAGTAAGATGGTGTGCAGTTAAAGGGAAACTGAAACATTAAGTCCAGTGCACTTAATGACAATCTAAGACTGTTTTACCCATAGTCTTGAGATGAAAGGTCTTTCCACACTTGTAACAAACCATGCCACAAACATACTCTGGCAACATGGCTTTTTTTTCCCCTACTGTTGCCTTTACCTTATCTCCAGCCCATGCATGAGACAATCCTAAAGCAGCATTTTGCTCTTAATACTGATGTCAATGCTGTGACAATGGATGTCAATGCAACGACAACTGAGAATCAGCAGCCATGTTACCTTTTTTGCTTTTAGAGTGCCTTTTTACTGTTTTGAGGTTTAGATGTAGAAGGTGAGATGGGGTAAATGCTTGAGGGTTAGTTAGCCATAACAACTGCAGCTGTGTGGGAAGGATATTGCTTGATAAAGTTTTGACGGTCTGAGGAGCTGGGAAGGAAAGCCCGTGTTTTGCGTTAATTGGAGAATGTGATTTCTGACAGCTTCTTTGGGGTGGAAATTGCAACTTGGGGCGAGGGAATTTCAGTCTTGGGTTCAACTATGTAAGTGCCCATACTTTGTTTCCTGAACAAAATGTTCTTTAAGGAAGAAATCTTTGCCTTGAAGTTCTTTTCATTGTTTCATCTATCGGAACCATGACAGCTGACACTGTTCAAGCACAGCCTCACAGTGTATAAATCTGTTAGGCTTTTTCATCCATTACTTTGAAGGAAACATAAGTGACTGAGTAAATGAAAACAGGCAATAGAAACAGGAAAGGCTTTGGCAATGGAGGCATTTCATGCCAATATATTTTCTACCAACTTAGAAACAGGTGAGTAAGATTTCAATTGGTGGAACTATTTCAAGTGGGGAAAGACTTAAAGACAATATTGTAGGATCAAGTGGAAGACTGGTATTGCTAGGACATGACTGTTAGTAAACTGGAAGTGAAGCTGGGGAGACAGACATTCAACTCTAGATGAATAAATTACAAGGGGATCAACTATGTTAATGCAAATTGCCTGTCTGTTTGGCTGGCTAGCTAGCTACCGGTAGCTAATATAGCTAGCTAATTTATAGAGCTGCCCATCTCACAAGCAAATAACTCTGGGCAGTGTACAACAAAATTAAAACAATAAATATCTAAAATCATTAACAAATATTTAAAATATTTTTAAAAAACTATAATAACAATTAAATGAGAATAATGGATGGAGAGAATTTAGAGCCAATAGCCCTGAGCTTTCCAAATCAAACGTACTACATGAAGATCTCAGCAGAACAGTCTCAAATAAGCAAACCAGGTTTCTACTGTCCAGATGATCATAAAAACGTGGTAGGAATCTTTCTTCATAGAAGACCAGGTAGAGCAGCACAACCTAAATTAAAAAAATACTTTGCAGACCAATATTGATAAGAGAATATGATAATCAGTTCTCTCTTTTAGGCTATCAAGCCATTAGAAAGCATGAAAGATGTATAGGTAAAATTCTAAATGGCTATTTGGAGGTTTAATGGAGAATGGCAAAGCTTAAATTGAGGCTGAGTAAGAGGTAAAAATGCTGAGATTAGAATATTTCAGAGGCAAAGAAAATAGGAAGCTCTCCCAAAGTCAAACTGAGAATCTGTCCAGTCTTTAGTGTTTCCTTTCCTCCTCATAGCTTCCTTTTGGTTCCAGTGAGTTGCTGCATAAACTGTAAGATAGAATCCATAGTTAAATTTACAGACCCAGTTAACAGAATTTAACCTCATCACTTTTTTCTTGCACATTTATACTTGATATCTTTTTTTAATTGTATAGAGGTGACTTTTTAAGCATTTCTATATTTCTAAAATTTATTTTCACTAGAAAAATGCTCCATAATAGCACTCTAAAAGATGGAACAATTGCAGTTTTATAGCTCCAGCTGTTTGTTTTCTTCCTGCTATAAAGATAGCAATGGAGCAATCTGCAAAGGGCAATATTGTTCCATATTTGAGCATGTGGTTCCAGGAACATAATCTTCTCCCCTCCGAGAAGAGGAGGAAGCCTGGTATAATCTTTTGTTGCTGTCTGGGAAAGAAAAAGACAGTATGGTGATCACATACTAAACCTGAGCAATATAATGTAGCTCTGACATCTTAGATATCAACCATGACTAGTTGCTTAAGCATGCATAAAACTGTCAAAGTGTAGTAGAGATGAAATAGTATACATGAATACACAGAGAAGCACAAGTTTGCATAGCTATGCAGAGAATTATTAGAAAGCTGAAAGAACAAAGCCTTCCACAATCTGGGAATTACAGTTGTGTTGGAAATTGCAGTTCCAACTCATTGAGAAAGCAGTAAGTGGGAGAAATACACGTAGTCCTTGATTTATGACTGTAAAAGAACCTGCCTCTGATAGTCATAAGTTGTGATGGTCATAAAGCAGGACAATACATACCAGACCTGATTTTATGACCTTTTTTGCAGCAGTTGCTGAATGTCAGTCATAAAGCGAATACCATAGTTGTTAAGTGAATGTTGTGGGTGTTGAGCAAACCCGTTGTTCTTTTTGGGCTGTTTTTGCAAAAAATCAGAAGTAAACAGTGGGGTTTTGGCAAAAGTGTCATACATTGAAAGTGGAAAGAGGGGAACATAACTAAGTCAGAATATCAGCAAATAGCCCGAGCCTGCAAAGATGAAGTGAAGAAAGCCAAGGCTCAAAATGAACTGAGGCTTGCGACCAAAGTCAAAAATAACAAAAAAAGCTTCTTTCAACATGTAAAAAACAAGAAAAAAGTGAAGGAAATGATTGGTCCATTAGTGGGTGGAAGTGGCAAGAAGGTGACAAGCAACAGGGAGAAAGCAGAACTATTTAACTCATTTTTTGCATCTGTCTTTACACAAAGGGAAAAAACAGACCAACCTATCAAAAATAGTGCCACAAAAAACAAAACAGAAACACAAGTTAAGATAGGCAAGAAAATCGTTAGTGAGCACCTGTCCAGCCTAGATGAGTTCAAATCGCCAGGACCAGACGGATTACACCCCAGAGTTCTCAAGGAACTGGCAGATGTGATATCGGAGCCACTGAACTATATTTTTCAAAGATCCTGGAACACAGGGGAACTACCAGAGGACTGGAAAAGAGCTGATGTAGTTCCCATCCTCAAAAAAGGAAAAAAAATGGATCCAGGAAATTACAGACCTATCAGCCTGACCTCAATACCTGGGAAGATCCTGGAAAAGATAATCAAACAACGAATCAACGAACACCTAGAGGCAAACAAAGTCATTACTAAAAGCCAACATGGGTTTGTCAAAAATAGATCATGCCAGACAAATCTTATTGCATTCTTTGACCAAGTGACAAAATTAGTGGATCAGAGGAATGCTGTGGACATAATTTACTTGGACTTCAGTAAGGCATTTGATAAAGTAGATCACAACCTACTACTTGACAAGATAGAAAAATGTGGGGTAGACAGAACCACCACCAGATGGATCCGTAGCTGGCTGACCGGCCGTACTCAGCGAGTGGTCCTCAATGGAACTGCATCTATATGGAGGGAAGTGTGTAGTGGGGTGCCCCAGGGCTCTGTTCTGGGCCCAGTACTCTTCAACATCTTCATCAACGATTTGGATGAAGGGATAGATGGGGAACTCATCAAATTTGCAGATGACACCAAGCTGGCAGGAATAGCCAACACTCCAGAAGACAGGCTTCAGATACAGAAGGATCTGGACAGACTTGAACACTGGGCACTAACTAACAAAATGAAATTCAATGGTGAAAAAAGCAAGGTTCTACATTTAGGCAAGAAAAACCAAATGCACAAGTACAGCATAGGTGGCACCATGCTCAATAGTAGTAACTGTGAGAGGGACCTCGGAGTCCTAGTAGACAATCACTTAAATATGAGCCAGCAGTGTGCTGCAGCTGCCAAAAAGGCCAACACAGTGCTAGGCTGCATTAACAGAGGGATAGAATCAAGATCACGTGAAGTATTAATACCACTCTTCAATGCCTTGGTAAGGCCACACTTGGAATACTGCATCCAGTTTTGGTCACCACGATGTAAAAAAGATGTTGAGACTCTAGAAAGAGTACAGAGAAGAGCAACAAAGATGATTAGGGGACTGGAGGCTAAAACATATAAGGAACGGTTGCTAGAATTGGGTATGTCTAGTTTAACGAAGAGAAGGACAAGGGGGGACATGATAGCAGTATTCCAATATCTCAGGGGCTGCCATAAAGAAGAGGGAATAAGCTATTTTCCAAAGCACCTGAAGGCAGGACAAGAAGCAACGGGTGGAAACTAATCAAGGAGAGAAGCAACCTAGAACTAAGGAGAAACTTCCTGACAGTGAGAACAATTAATCAGTGGAACAGCTTGCCTCCAGAAGCAGTAAATGCTCCAACACTGGAAGTTTTTAAGAAGAGACTGGACAGCCATTTGTCCGAAATAGCGTAGGGTTTCCTGCCCGAGCAGGGGGTTGGACTAGATGACCTCCAAGGTCCCTTCCAACTTTACTACTATTACTATTACTATTACATTGTGAAACTGTGACCCTGGGAGGCTGCAAATGACTGTAAATGCGGATTGGTTGCTAAGCGCCCAAAATGTGGTCATGTGATTATGAGACACAAGTACCTTTTGAATGGGTCTGCAATGACTTCAAACCCTTGGCAAGTGTCCAGTCGTAAGTCAAGGTATATAAATGT